GCTGGCGCTGCGAGAAGAGCGCGGGCGGGCCACGATCAGCTACAACGCTGGGAGCAGTCCGTGCGAGAAAGGGGGTGCGCAGTGGCAGCCGATGCTGGCGCTGGGAAAAATGTGCGGGTGGGCCACGATCAGCAACGCTGGGAGCAGCCCGTGCGAGAAAGAGGGGTGCGCAGTGGCAGCCGATGTTGGCGCTGAGCGAATCGTGCGGGTGGGCCACGATCAGCCACAACTCTGGGAATAGCCCGTGCGAGAAAGGGGGGTGCGCAGTGGCACCCGACGCTGGCGAGGCGAGAAGCGCGGCTGGGCCACGATCAGCCACAACGCTGGGAGCAGCCCGTGAGAGAAGGGGAAACGCAGCGGCAGCCGAAGCTGGCGCTGCGAAGACAGTGCTGTGCGATGCGAGAGGGCGATGCGAAAAAGAGGGAGTCGAAGTTGGAGCCATATGTCACCTGCGAGAGGCGGGAGGTGTCGGCGTGGTTCCCAGCCCCTGCCTTCCACCTTCCATTCTCCCTCCCCGTCGTCGCCAAGGCTGGGCGCGGACGAAAACGGCACGGGTCCCACACCACTGCGCGAAGTACCATTATGTGAGAGTGGGAGTCGAAGTCCGAACCCGACACGATCAGCTACAGCGCGGGGATCGGGGCGAACCGCTGGGAGCAGATCGTGCGAAAAGGGCGGCAAAGGCTCGAGCGACGCAAACGAGAAATGGGAGGCGAAGCTGGACACCAAACCGGTCATAGAGACGTAACGAGACGGTCGAACCTAAATACCATCAGCTACAACAGACAAAGAGGGACGCTGGTGGCTGCTAGGCGACTGTCGAGCCCGACGTCCTCAGCTACAGCGCTGGGATCAGGGCAACGCTGGGGCCAGAGCGAGCAGTGGAATCAGCCACAAAGCCGGGAACAGCTCGTGCGAGAAGAGCGGCAGCGGCAGCTGCGACACCACTGCGAGAAGTGGGAGGCGAAGCTGGAGCCCGAGCCTCGATTTTGTCCTACAGTGCGGGGACCGGGGCGTGCGCAAACCCAGGCAGTGGCAGCAAATTCTGTTGCCGCAGCGGTCGGACGGGCATTTCACCAACTACAACGCTGGGATCAACTCGTGCGCGGAATGGCGGGGGAGCAGCCGTGCAAGGCAGGGTCGCAATTCATCGGGTTCGGGAGCTCAGTGGCAGATCTCCTGTGAGAAGCGGGAGGCGAAGCTGGAGCCCAATATCGGCAGTGGCAGCAGGGTCTGTTGCCGCTGGGCTCGGACAGGCCACCCTCAGCTACAGTGCAGAGATCAGCTCGTGCGAGAAGTTTGCAGCCCCTATCGGGGCTTCCTATAGGTCTGGCTCGGCTCGGGAACGGCCCGAAGCGGCCCGGCCTCCCACGGCACGAAACCGCAAGGCATCGTGTACCGCGATGGCCCGCTCAATCCCGCTCAGTCTCCTCCTCCTCCTCCTCCTCCTCCTCCACCTCGTCCTCCTCGTCCTCCTCCTCCTCCTCCTCCTCCTCCTCCTCCTCCTCCTCCTCCTCGTCCTCCTCGTCCTCCTCGCCCTTCTCATCCTCGTCCTCCCGCTGCTGCTGCTGCTGCTGCTGCTCATCCTCCTCCTCCAGAGTGTGCCTCCTCTGGATGGCAGTGGAGCCGAGATTCTGCGAGCCGCGACGTGCTCTGACCCATGCGAGCGCGCGGGGCCACCGAAGCAACGCCCCTGGGCAAAAAGTGCCAGAGCGGGGAGGGGGACGTCCGAGTGGCAGAACGGGCGCGAGTTTCTCGGACGGGCACCAAGGCCACCCCCTGGCGGCTCCCCTGGCGCCGCCTCTGGCACCGAAGCGCGCCATGGGAGAGGAGGGGGCCCAACGCTGACCCAAGGGCTCCCCGCGGACCTCCGAAGGTTTATGCTTGTGTAGCATCTTGTGAGCGTGTTTTATTCGGCGCTTCGAAATGTTTTGTTCCCCCCCATCACTTGCTTTGATCCACGGCAGCCTTGGTGGCTGCAACCGTGTCTTGGCACTGGTCGCATATATCTATATCACAGGTCGTGCAAATCAACAGCAGCTCACCGGCACGAATAGGGCTGTCACAATAATTGCAAACGTATCTGCCCGACTTGCTGGTTACATGTGCTTTAAGGCCATGCATTCTGGGGCAGTTGAATTGGAAAGTCACTTCGCACAACAGGTTCGCATCATCAGGAACGCGGTCAGGACGACTCACAGCCACATGGGCTCGGACCGGCGGGGGCACAGGGGGGAAATTGGACGGAGCATGAGGTATATCAGAGAGCTTCGGCGACGGCTTGCCTAGCCTCTTTCAGAGATCGTCCAACAGGTGCAATGGGTTGGTGTCAATCATGCATTCGGCGTTTCGACACTGGGCAGAAAGGGGGGGAGGGGGGGGGTCTGGCTCAAGAGCTCTGCTCAGTGCGACTGTTTGCAACAGTCGCAAAAAACACGATCTGCTCCATGAGCGGGGGGGAGGGAAGGGGCGAGGACGAACGACGAACGAACGAACGAACGACGAACGAAAATATGGAGGTCCGAGCTCTAGAACACAGCTGCACAAGAGAGAAACGTGGGGATGTCGCTGGTCACCTCATTGAAGGCTATGGCCCCACCTCGTCGCAGTCCGCATGAATCGAGGGATGGAGGACACTTCCTTGCAAAACGAAGGTCCCACCTTGGGGGCCGATCGGCGGGGCAAAACCATGCATAAGAGAACGATCACCATGTAGTTGTGAGTGCCGCGTTGTGGCACCGTAGCTCCCTATGGGCCACGAACTGCCGACATGGGGTGGCGCCGCCATGCGAACTTTGCCATTGTGGCTGTCAGTGGAGCTCCTCATGGGGGCCACAAGCCGTGTGAGCGGTGCGCCAAAATGGGGCGGCGCCGATCGGCAAAACCATGCATAAGAGAACCAAAGGCGATGACAATCTTAGGGATCCGCCCTCAAAAAAGAAGGGGCTCCCTAAGATTGGCATCGTGATGAGGAGGTGTCCAGCGACATGCATAAGAGAACGATCACCTTGCTCGTCTGCTCCTACACCTGTTTTCGGGGGGCCCAGGCCCCGCGACAGACAGAGCACGCACTGCACCAGGGGACCAACGGGCTTCCAGAGGCAGGGGCCCCTCGGAGATCCCCCAGGAGATCCTCGGAGGACTCCGCAGGCCTCCGGGGGCGCCAGAAGGCCCAACACAGCCACAGAAGCAATCGCGCGTGAACCCACGGCAAGGTCCTGCCGTGACGACCCAGGCGCTGGTTTCTGACACCGCGCGGATCGTTGAACCTCGAACGATCGGCGGCTTTCCAATCGCCTTGGCGGATTCTGGGCCACTGGCGGCGTTCAACCTTGAACGCCCACGGCGGGGTCGCCGCCGCGTCGACACGACACGAGCCTATCGTGCCCCTGCACCTCAGATTTCTGAAATGCCCACAGGGGCCCCCCAAAAAGTGAACGAGATCTGCAGCAAAGTGAACCCCAGTGGGTGTGTCCGATACCCTGGCGTCGATTGGACCCGCAGGGGGAAGGAGTTGCAACTGCAAGTGGCCGCGAGCTCACGAGGCTCGACCCTTGAACCTCGGCCCCCGAACCTCGAGTTAACGAGCGAGGACGGCTGGGGTGCACGGTTTCCGTCGAGGCCGCAGGCGACCCGAGGAGGAGGAGGAGGACTGACGAGGAGGTGGAAGAGGAGGCGGAGGAGGAGAAGGAGGAGAAGGAGGAGGAGGAGGGAGGAGGAGGAGGAGGAGGAGGAGGAGGACGAGGAGGAGGACGGGTCGCCTAAGCCCTTCGGAGAAACCCTCCAGGCTGGGGGGGCAATCAGAGGGCGCCAGCAGTACGCCCACACCGATCCCCGCCGAGCCGCTTCTGGGCCCAGGAGGGGTGCGTACGCCCCCTCCCTCGGCTTGTCCTGGAAGGATTGGCAAAAGTTAGGAGGGAGCCCAAGTCAGGAGGGGGCCCCATAACCCTTTGGGAAGGGACCTAAGTTAGGAGGGCCAGGGGCATTAGGGATAGGGGGGTCTTTTCTGCAAGTGTATCGAGGCAAACCGCCCAGACTTACTATTCCTACAGCCGAACATACGATCAAGACAAGAAAAATATAGCTTAAGAACCCTAGCCCATCTTTCTGGAAGTTTCCGAAGACGAACCTGGGCCAGGTGCTCGTGCTAACGCTGGAGGGGCGAACGCGCTCAAGAAACTGGGCAAACTTTCGGACGAGGTGGTTGAAAGACGCTGGCCCAGCTTTCCGGGAGGAGGCCTCTTCATCAGATGCTCGACTGTAATGCGAAGACGGGGACCTCCGTGAGGCTGCGCCCTCATCGTGTTAGCGGGCTCAGGTGCTTCTGCTATTCTCAATGTCGGAAGGCACATGCACAGATCTCGAGCACAGCATCGGCCTCTGGCAGAGCTCGAGGCTGTGCTCGGCGCCCTCCCCACTGTCTTCTCTCGTCGCGGCGCGGCAGAGGCAGAACCACGCGCGCGCTCGAGCAGCCGGAGGGCGCTCGGCATACCAACCTGGCCGCCCACCAAGCTGCGACAAGCCGTCCACCAAGTACAGTCGACCCGTATCAGAAGGACGCACGATGAGGATGGCCTTGAAGGCCGTTTCGAAGCTTTTCGAGCGGTGCGCGGCCAGCGAAAGCGGCCAAGGGTTGGGTCGAGGAGGCAAGGATGCAAGGGTGCCCTTGGGAAGGTTGCCCATCCCGACTGTGCGGGTTGACCGTGGCTGGAGGGGCCCTCCAAACCTAGCCGTACACCAAATCGCTGCACTCCTCGGCGGGCCCTCTCCCCCGGCGTTCCAGCTCTGATGCGGGCCCCCGGGGCCTGGTGACACCATCCCCCGAGGCTGGCGTTCCAGCCCGAGCCAACGTTCGACAGCCCACCGGGAAACGTCCGCCAAAATCAAAAAAACTGTGATAAGCTGAAGACTGGTCAAAAGAGAAGCAACAACCTATCGGGGGGAGAAGCAATCAAAAACAAGCGAACAACAACAAAAGCGTGGTTATCACGCGCGGGCGC